CTTAGTAGCTGGGAGAAAACGGTTGGACATTCCCTTCAAAGGCTGCCACGACCCACCCTTGCCACATATCCATTAGCGGAATGTAGTACTCATGACTCCGTCCTGTGTCTGGCGCTATTTTAAACTTTAATTGGGCAGGTACCGTACAGTGGTGCTCTTTCTAACGCAGATACCATGCGCGGTCTTTGTCTTCGCTCGCAGGTGTCCTACATGGTGATGCTGTGTTCAGGATTTCGTCAGGTGGGAGGGGGGGTGAAAAAAAAGGGGGGGGGGCTCGGAGGCAGCGTCTCTTAATGGGTATGACACCACAGACATGTTGATTAGAGCCCCGGGCAACAAAACGCCGTTTTGATCCACATCAATGAACATTCACTTTCCACGTATTGTTTGCCCACAGCACTTACATACAATCACAAAAAAAAAATATCAAAAAAAAAATAAGCTCAACTTATTTTACCCTTTCTTTAAATATATTACCGTCACCCATCACATTTTCTATTAAAGCACTTATAAATCCGCACATTTTAAAAATTTATTTTATATTTTTATATAATATATACTTTTTTAAAAATCTGCAATAATTAGTCTCAGTTGTGAAATGTTCAGCGTTGTTGTTTTTTTACTTACACTTCTAGTGATTAGAACTTTTCTGAACTTCTTTAATATGTTGTTTAATTGCTTCTAAAAATAATTAAAATGTAAATCTTAAAACTTTACTGTGTTTTGAAATCTTTAAAGGTACATTTTAACCCAAATTACCCTAGCCGTAAAAAAAAACTTCTATTCGGGGAATCGTCGAGTGTCTGAAGAAAATTAAATGTACCTTTGTATCGGTATCAAGACGTCAAAGATTTCCTATTTTTAACTATGGCGGGCAACCACCATCTCCCCTTATCAGAATGTTAAAAAGGCACAAAAAAAAAAAAAAAAAAAAAAAATAAAAAGGAACAAAAAAAAAAAAAAAAAAAAAAAAATATCGTGGGAGGAATCGTCATCTGACCGAAAAACCATGGTACTGATTGTCATCCACGGCTTGAGATGTAGTTTTAAATCTATATTTGTTTAGTTTGATCTAATTCATGTATGTCAATTAATTTTTAAAGGTTTTTTTTTGTTTATTACGCTTGTTAAATTGAATGTACAGCGTGGTGAGCCCAGCCCTAGGCTGGGGTACCACGCTATATAAAATCACGTATAATGATAATACTAATGTCCCATCAAACCCAGGATAAATGAGCTTATCAAGAAAGCAAGTAATACCACACAAACGAACCTGGCATTGCTTGAAGAATTATTGAAAGCACAGTGACACTTGCAAAACTAAAAGTAATATGTGCGTGTGGTTTAGGGGGTGTGGGTAGGGGGTTTGGGTGGGGGGGGGGCTCTTTTTCTTGGGTTTCTTTCTCAGGATTTTCCGGACACATTTGTCTTTTCCTGTCAAATATTTTCCAATATTCACAAAAATTATTACCTCTCTTGACTCTAACTCGCAGCTACAAATGTGTGTGTCCCCCCCCCCCCACACCAACAAGTGTTACTACAATTCTACTTATAGTTTAGACTGTCTAGAGGTTAACAAATTTGTGTACATTATTATTATTTTTTTTTAATTACAGCCATTGAAGGATTCTGTGTCTTAATAAAGCCTCCCCCCCCACCACCAACACCCCCCACCCCCCCAAAAAAAAAAAACCAAAAAAACAAAAAAAAAACCTACAAAATGTGATTATCTTAAAAGCATTACTAATAATGATACTCTTATCACAACGTGTGTTTTGTGTCCTTGTTGCTTGTACTTGTTGAAATTTTTAAATAGTGCCAGTTTAAGATGGCATTTAAGTGAATGACACTTACTACATTTATGTTTAAATCTAATAACTTTTTTTATAACTTAGTTTGAATATCAGTTTCTTCTGTTGTATGTTATATAATATTCCATTGATTTTTTGAATTCCACGTACCAGATTAAGTTGCATAAGTTTTTATAGCAAAGTATTTAACAAATAGTAAATAAGAGTGTGTGTTGTGGCTCACTCATGTGCCTTCGTTAAAGTATTTAAGCGTGACTTGTATATCTTCTCTAGTTTTGCATAAATGAGAGTCTGTCATGAACCAGTGGAAATGTTATTGATGTTTTTTGTTTTCGTTTTTCAAATCTTGCATGTAATTTTGTGGAAAAAAATGATGTTGTGTTTTTTCCCTTGCTTTTGGAGACGGCTGGCTTTAAAAAAAAAATTAAAATAAACCTATTTATTTATGAAAAGTATTGGGTACCTTTTTTCTGTTTCGTTTATTTCGTACCAATCGCCGCTGGATCCCTTAATAAAAAACACCTCAAATTGGATAAGTATGTAAGCAAAGCGTGGAGATCAAGGGCCCTTGTTTTTTTCCTGACTGAAAAATTCTCATGACTCCTCTTTGGTTCAAAACATTGCTGTATGGGGTCACACATTTTTGCGGCAAGATTTTAAATAATGAGAATTGGTTATCGGCAGATGAGAAAAGTAAGATGGCGAACAGTTCCAGGGAAAAATTTCAATGATTTCAAATATTACATGTGACTCGATCACAGAGGAATCAACATATCAAAATTACCAACTTATTCATTATAGGTTCAATAATTATCGACTAATGTATTCCTTTTAGATTCAACGTTTACCAATCAATGTATTCCTTTTGGGTTAAACTATTACTAGTATTACCCCAAAACATCCATGTGAAATAATTTTAAAATTATTTTAGTCTAAAATTAGACACGATACCGCTTGATCCACTTGAGTACAGTTCTCGTAGGTCCTGACTAGGTAAACCAAAGCTCTCTCTCATTGCCCGCATGTTTGTGTAATCATCTCGGGCCTACTCCTAGTTTATTCCAAACATTTCACTAAGCAAAGTATCTAAATATATTGCTTGTCTACATTTTAAAATTTAATTTTTTTTATTCACGAGTTTCTTAAAGAAAACATAACGGGACACTGTCCCTTGAAGTGTTGGAGAGTCTTATCACCTCCATTGACAGAAATCACCTATCTCTCTATCACCCACTCCAATTTTTAAAAGAAAAAAGTAAGCTCAATTTAAACCACTGTCCCATCCACCCTCCCAACACCCCACCCTCCGAGCACCCCACCCTCCCAACATCCCCACCCTCCCAACATCCCCACCCTCCCAACACCCCACCCTCCCAACACCCCCACCCCCCCAACACCCCCCCCCCAACACTTCCACCCCCCATCCCTTTATTCTCCATAAATATTTTTATTTTTAACAAAGAAAACAATCCGTGCCTGATATATCCTAAAATATCCCGCCCCTTGTCCAGGCTAGCCTAGCAACCCGTAAACAGCCAACGTAAACACTCACAGCAAAGCGTTTTTGCGTTGGGAGTTTCCGTCCCGCCACTGTCGGCGATAACAAATTATGCCAGCTTGACAACTTCCTGGGTAGTACCAAATGTGTAAACGGCGTCATGACATTGCTGGTCTGGTCTGAACACCTCTAATCGAAACAGTTCATCATTACCTGGCCATTTGACCGGGCTGTGGGTTAGGGGTGGAAGGGCCGGCGGAGGAGGGGGGGGGGCGTTGTTGGCGTGGGGATTCAAAGTATAGGGTAAAATATGACCGCTTCATTGTCATGTTCTGATGAGCGTACGGTAACATTTTGGATTTGATAACAAATAGCAAAATACTGCTGCTCTTTCAATGAACACCAAGCATGTTGAAGGTTTGCCTTGCAACGTTTTATTTCTATAGTCTATACCAGGCCTGCACAACATACGACCCGCATGTGGCCCGCCAGCACCTACTTAACGGCCCAGCCAAGTAAAAATATTCCTTATTATTATTAATATTATTTTATTAATAGTATCCCCCTGACTTATCATCTTTCGGCCCGAACAAGCTTGTTATAAAGTATTATGGCCCGCGCACGTTTTTCATAAAGTATTACGGCCCGCCTTATATTTCGAGTTGTGCAGGCCTAGTCTATACTATAAGCCCCAATAACAACATTTAAAATTTGTCTCCGTCACGTCCGCAACGTTTCTCCTGGCTTTTAAGATATAAATTCCGTTTTAGTCTTAGAATAAAAATTATGTTCAGATGAACAGAGAGTATTGGAATCTACTTTGTAGTTTGTTTCCATTACCAAAACCGACGTTTGTGTTCGCATTGCGTCTACGCCTTTGGCGGAATCGATACCACATACACCACACTGAAGGTGCGAGCCTCATCGCTGACTCGAGGACAGAAAGAAAAGATTCAGACCAACCGTTCACTCGCTCGAAGCACGGTTAGAAATATGCAGACCGTGTAGAATAGTGGTTCTAAACATTCCCTAATGTCGCGACCCTTTAATACAGTTCCTCATGTTATGGTCTTAGGCGACCTCTGTGTAAGAGTCGTTCGACCCATATATATATATATATATATATATATATATATATATATATATATATATATAATATATTTATATAACTGAAGTTAAATAAAGTATATTTTAAAACACCCCATTCAACGTAAGTCAGCCCCAATCCCCCATACTACACCCAAAACAGGAAGAATAAAAAAAAGATTGATGAATAAGACACAGCCAAACATGCGCAATAATAAGTATCATTATATAACTGAAGTTAAATAATGTATATTTTAAAACACCCCATTCAACTTAAGTCAGCCCCCATCCCCCATACTACACCCAAAACAGGAAGAATAAAAAAAAGATTGATGAATAAGACACAGCCAAACATGCGCAATAATAAGTATCGTTTGTAAGGTTGTGACATTATTTATCATCACTGCAGGTTACATTCAAAGTATGCAAGAAAGGAGAAAACGCTACAAAGAAAAAGCCACCCCGTACCAAAACAGTGTCTCTTCGACATCCACCCACGCATAAACTGACGGCCGTGAAAGTTTCGAATCCCGAATTCCGATTTCCAATTTAATGGGAAATCCCAAAGTTTTTTTTTCTTTTTTTTTTTCTTCAATAATTTTTTTTTTCTGTTTAAAGGGTACCGGCAGTCACATCGTGCAGGCGTTGTAGCTAGTCGCTATATTTCAAAATCCATGGATAGTCAACATCTGTCTATCATGCTTCCAGTCTTGTTTATTGTGTTCCTCGTTCTAATTCTGAAGAACTACATCACTCACAACTGGGGTTTAGGACTTTTCTTTATTATCACGTTGGACTTTCTATCGCGAATTGAGATTTCTACGGGTTCGCTCGTACTGATTTCGGTAGTCTTTGAGGCTATATTGTTTTTATCCCAGCCTTATAGTAAAATGTACGTGAATCGCGTCATCAATTGCGGTAAACCGAACTTGGACCTTAATAGTGAGATATATACTAAACATAAATTATTTATTGTTATAAAGCGCTCATCGAAACAAAACAAAAAATATCACTTGGAGAAAATCCGAAACGAAACGTCCATTGCACCAGAGTTTAAAAATTTCACAGTCTTCCCTGCGAGATTAGAGTCCGTGGACCCCCAAGAAGTGGACACCGAAGCTAAAAGATTGGCCACATTCTCAACGGTTCCAAGGAATTCTATACCAAGTCGATGCCCCTATTTCACCGAATTTGCCAACACTGGATTGTATTACGATAGGAAGGAACCGTGCGTTCGATGCAGCCGGTGAGTACCGTTAGCAGAGCTGATTATTCTTATCCACATTCTAACTTTTTTGGAATGATTTCTTGAGCCCTGATCTCTGTTTATATCAGTTTAATATTCAGTGTTTAAAGGGACACTTGGACTCCGAACTGGGATAACGAATCGCAAGGTTTGTGATTGTAATCGGGGATGAAAGTTTATAGAATTGATTCACGTAGAATCTGTAGACCTGTTGGAATAAATTAAAAGGGATTCGACGATTCATTTAAAATTTGACTTACCCTTTATCCACAAACGTGTTTCGAAATATATTCAATTACCTGGTAAATATTTATTATTTTTTTCAAACAACTAAAAAAGTTATTCTTTCAATCAGAGAGTAGGGCTCCGTCGTTATTCCATTGCGCAATAATCAGAAAATGTATAGAGGGTAGTTCAAATAGTTTAAATATTACGCTTTGAAATTATTTATTTATTTTATATTTCTAAAACCCCACCTTAATTTGGGTCCTATTGTGCCTATTAAGAAACAATTATTAACTGCACCGCTGATTTCATTACCATATTTTCAAAGTATATGCAATAAATATCGGAGATAATAATACTTTTTTTTGAAGACATCACATTGCTCCGGTGAAACTCGATTATTTTTTAATTGGGTGCTTACCATCTGATTTTTTATTATATTGTTGCTTGTTTTTGGGTAAAGTTTTAACAAAATAAAAAATGAAGGGATTTTCATATGATTATCAATTTAACTTCTAAATTTAAGAAAAAAAAAATATATAATTTATCTGTAAGTATTACACAAATTATTGTTAACTTTTGATGGTTTTTAAGAAATTAAGAACTACAAAAATGGTAAATATTACGTAGCTAATCATCCTCCGGTTAAAGTTTTTTTTTAATCATATTATTTTATCGTTGGTATTATTAGTTTGTCTGAAATCAATATTGTATCAACTTTAATAAGTTCGAACGGCAAATTAACTCCATCGATCCTACGATTAATGACGACGCGGTAAGCCGTAGTAGGTCAAATACTATTTTGTACAAATTATTTTTGTGAAGCGCATATCTTTACACAATCTGTAGGTGCACGTCGAGGTTTGAGCTACACAGCGTGCCAGGTGGCAGGCGAGACTGGCACGTGCGGTGGTGTCCATTCCACGCGACCGCAACATCGACAAACAACACAATCCACAGAACGTTGAACGGCGGCCACCAGCTGACGACCGGAGGGTAAGTTTTTGGGATGTTTATCATTGTGTTAACTACAATGAAATGATTAGCCGGTTTATTATGTTCTCCAACTTGTGAAGTCAGAGTTGGAGGTGGCCAGAGAAAGTAGGAGTCTATTGAAATATATTTTTTTTTAAATAGTAAAATGTGTGTTTCCCTCCTCTACCTTATACCTTTGTGCTATAGCTGCCACTAGTATTTATGGTTCTTTTTGTTAAATAATTAAATTTAAAAATGAAATATTTTAAAGAATATTTTTCAGTAAGCTTGCCCAATTCTAATACATTTTTATGCATGGAAAAAAATTCCCTGGCAATTTTATTACTGAAATTTATAGAACTTAAAAAAATTTTTTTTTTAAATTAATGATCAAAAAGTGATTGTTAGAATTGTTTGAAATGGGATAATATTCTTAACTTGGACAATTTGAGGTTTGCTCTCTATTTTAGTTTTACAATATTTATTTTAGACCGCCCCACATCAGTGCAATGACATTATGTCTTGGCGTGCGTGTTGTATACTCAATGTCAACACCCGGTCTTAAAATCCCTTTGTCGAGCTCTTTCTTACTCTCCAATGGAAAAATTTGATTTTTATAACATTTTATATCATCTAGCCGTGTAGTTGCTGTCGATCGGCCCGAGGAGAACGATCGGGACGTTGCCGAGACCGTTGATCAACGAGAAGGTAAACTCGTACGCCTCTGGGCACATGACACTGTACAGTTATGTGATTTCCATTTGAGCTTGTTATTATACATGTGATGCTTTTAAAGATTAACAAGATCCCATGACTGGCGGCTCACTCTGACCGTAACCGTGAAAATACCGCCTGATTCCATTTCCACCCACTTTAATGCTTTAAGGAGAATATCCACTAGTTCAATCCATGTAACTCTATAACGTCTCTCTTTTAAAAACGGGACCGTTGCGAACTGGAGCTAGAATCCCTGAAATAACATAATAAAAATGGCCCTTTTTTTTCAGGGGCATAAAACCAGAAACCAAAACTTGCCTTCTTGCCGTTCTCAATAGATTATGTTTTAACGAGTTGTAGAATTTAGTGGTACCCGAAAAATAATTACATTAAAATCGCATTTTTGACACGTTACGAGGAGAATATCAATTTAATCTAGAATGTTCCAGAACTTTATATATTGTTTCACGGTGTTGCATGGCGGAATCTAAGAGCTTATTGAAATGTTAGTTTAATTATATGCATTTCTATACTTTCCTGGGGATCACCGAGTCATCTTTTTATACGTTTCACAAAGTTTCTACATTATTCTTTAAGCTTTGATATTTTTTCTATTATTTTATAAGATTAAATTAATGAATTTGACTGTTTATTACATTTCGCTATCTTTCATTGAGTTTCCTCAAATGTTATGCAATAAGAATTAAATATGAAGTTTCTAGAAAAAAAAAATTAATAGTCCATTATTATGGCCTAAGCTATATACATAAATAAAGTTGAAGGCTTAGATTACGGTATACACTACTACGTGTATTGATGGATCTTAGCCAAAGTTGGTAAACATACCCTTCAATATCCATCCGGGAACAAGATTCCACCGGCAACGTGATCCCATGGAGGAACAGGTTCCTAACGGGGTCGAAATGAGAAAACGTGTTCCCACATGGTAACAATCTCACGAGAGAATAGACCCCAACATTAATGGGATCTCAAGAGGAACCGGATGCCACTGAGGAATGGAATCTGTCCGGGGAATGGGATACAACACGGAAATAGATTCCATCGGGAAACGGGATCCCCATAGGGAATGGGGTCCTAACGGGGAACAGGATCCCCCGGGATCGGTATCCCAAAGTGAAACGGGGTCAAACCGAGAATGGGATAACACTGAGATCGGGATCCCACTTTTAAGTGTTCCCGTAGGCAACCAGCAGGAAACGGGATCCCATCGAGGAACGGGGTCCCATCAGGGAACGAACTGTTGACAAAAGTTATTATAAATAAGAAAAATTAAAAATTGTATTTTTTTTCTTTACTTTAGCGACGTGTTATTCCATGGCCCTTACTTTCCTTTTTAGCTAAATAGATGCTGGAATCTTTTTCCAAATTCAACCCGGGCAAAGCCGGGTATATTTGCTAGTGAATAATAAAAATTAATTTAATATTTTTCTTTAAGAAAAAAAATTACTTACCCAACAGAAGGTCATAATCCCGGGCACAGACATTTCATAAAAAGACGCAGAGTTGAAAATAACTTTTAACGTCATATGAAAAAATCAATGGCCGCTTTGAAAAAAAGGTGTGCTCAGAGTACTGCGTGAAAAAGCACAGCGTGTCCATGCATGAAGATCCTTTATCACGACAATTGACACTGCAACATGACACGCCAATCTTTTCTCAAGTTTAGCCAATGAGTGAAGAGAGGGATTTCAGGAAAGAGACCATGTTGAGTTTTCAGAGGGTTAAATTAGTCAAAAGAAACGGGGGTACGATTAAATAATGAGGACCCCTTGACGGTATTAAATACACTGAAATAAATACATATTAAGGTGTGGTTGTTATATCTACGATAGGCCGAGTTATTTATCTACAACGCAAGATTAGATGTCTATTTAATACTCTTCTTAGCCAATGCACATCGATCGCAAGCCCTAATAACTTGACAACCTCCATTCGACCTGTCTCTACCAATGACTTATCTCTATACCAATGACCAGTCTCTCCCAATGACCAGTCTCTACCAATGACGTGTCTCTCCCAGTGACTTGTCTCTAACAATGACTTTCTCTATACCAATGACCTGTCTCTACCAATGACTTGTCTCCATACCAATGACCTGTTTCAACCAATGACGTGTCTCTATACCAATGATCTGTCTCTACCAATCACCAGTCTCTACCAATGACGTGTCTCTCCCAGTGACTTGTCTCTACCAATGACTTGTTTCTACCAATGACCTGTCTCTACCAATGATTTATCTCTACCAAAAATGACATATCTCTATACCAGTAATTTGTCTCTACCAATGACCTGTCTCTACCAATGACTTGTGTCTTCCAATGACCTGTCTCTACCAATGACTTGTGTCTTCCAATGACCTGTCTCTACCAATCATTTGTCTCTACCAATGACACGACTCTATAACCGGTGCCAGTAATCTGTCTCTATCAATGGCTTATTTCTACCAATGTCTTGTCTCTACCAATCTTAATTGATTTTAGACTGAAGACAAGCAAGTAAAATCTATTAGCGGTTTGAAGCTATCAGAAAAAAATAATATTTTTTTTAGCAATAATTATTAAAGTTTAAGTTACAAGGGATCAAAATGAAATAAAATTGAACTTGTTTCCTAAAGATATTAAATTTAACTTCCACCATGTGTGTGTATGTTAAATAAATATGTTTATGTGCCATCACTGCAACTTAACGTTGCTTAATATTATTCTCATGTCTTCATCAGACGAGTAGATTATTTCTAACCTTAACTTCATTTATGCTACTTTTCAAAGTATGATCAGACAAGTGGTTGCGCACTGCGTGATCACTCCTTGAGAGGAAGTTACTCCACATGCAAGCGGCAGCAAGCCATAAATCCATTAAAGTTTTTACAAAAATTCCCCTCTGGGAGCATTGATAAAATACAATTTAGTTTAAATTGAATCCATTTCAAATTTTGTTTTAGATTTTGATTTAATAATAATTTATTCCAATGGTTATTCACGAGAAGATAATTAAAAAAATAATAATTTTAAAATTTATCTTCTCGTGAATAACCATTTTTTTAAAGTGGATGAAGCTGGCTTTTTATGAAACTGGTTTAAGAATCACGTGGAAAATATTGGATGTCCTGGGTTTTCTTCTTCTTCTTCTTCTATATCTTAAGGGCCCACGATCAATTTATTGATCATTTTGGCTCCTATGAGTTTTGACTCATTGAAGCGTGCAGCTAGTGGCGTAGCTAGGGATTTGGAGGCCTGGGGGCTTGGCCTCTTTAGGGGCCCCTGCATTTTGACATTCGACAAGGGGCCCCTGCATTTTGACATTCGACATTATTTAATGTAAAAAAAAAAATTCGGACATGCCTTTGGGGGCCCCTCTCAAGTAATAACCTGAGAGGACTTTCGAATTTTGACCCCCAATCCCCCTCCCCTAGCTACGCCACTGCGTGCAGCTCTACTTTTGTGTGTAAGTTGCATGCAAGGCGGATGTGTTGCGGGCAGAGATTGCGCATTCTTAAGCGCTTTTGTTGTAACCCGTGCGTCACAGTGGTTGGCGTGCTGTTTTATAAGCGGCTCGGTTCGTCGTTTCAAACAGGAAGTTTCGGTACACACATCGACCCTACTTTCTAAATATAGGTCTCGTGAGAGGGGAGCTGGTTAAAAAGGGGATGGGGATGGGGTTGGGGTCGGGGTTGAAGGCAGGACTAGGTGCAGCACTTCGGCCACTCTAAATCAGTGTTTCCGATACGTTTAAGTTTGGTGGTACGGTGGGCAAGTTTTTAATTGCACAATGGGCCAGTGTGAGATCTGTTTATTGTTTTTTTTTATCTGGCTCTAGTTAATACATCTATATATTTATATAATTATATACGTGTATATATGCCGCATCTCCCCCCCCTTTCCTTTATTTACGTCTTGACCATATATAACTATATGGTCAATGCAGAAAATTGGTGCCACGACGTTATTTCGTGATAATTGTAAAGTTTGTGTTTTGGATTCGCTCCCCTTATTGTTGTATCTAGAGTTAAATTTTCCTTAAGATTACAATGACATGTTTTTTTTTTAATTAAATTTTTATTGGTTGATTAATTTATTATTTAAAATATCATTGGTTGGGTCATTATAATAATTTTTTTGCGCCATATTTTGATGAATTTGGGATTCATGGCAGGCATTGTATTTTATTCACGCTCTTGATATTCTTTTTGGTGAAACCTGAAATAAATTGTGTAAAAGTGTATCTCATGAAACTGTAAGTTGGGTTTTCATCATTTCTTTATTTTATAATTCTTTTTGGCCATTTGTATTGTTTTTTTTTTGTGTTCATTTTAATTGTCTTCTTGCCACGGTGTGTAAATGTCACGTGTTTTTTTACTTGCGGCTTTAGGGCTAGTTATAGGGCATAGGGTTTGGATTAGGTTTAGGGATAGATTTCGGACATTTTTTTCATTAGTTTTTAACGTTTTATTCCCAATTTTTAGCAAAAGTGAGTTTTGTTCTTCCACGTAAATGTTCACTGGTCGCAGCAACTAAGATGGCGGCCATGTGATACGTCATGGCACCAATTGTCTGCATTTACCAAATATTTTTATTTTAAATATGTATGTAAACACTAGATCAGCGGGTGTCAACCTGTGGGTCGCGACCCCTTTGGGAGTCGCATGACCCTGTCACAGGAGTCGCCTAAGACCATCGGAAAACACATATACTCTACAGTTATAAAGTATCAACGAAAATAATTGTGTTGTTGGGGGTCACCACACCATGAGGAACTGTATTAAAGGGTCACGGCATTAGAAAGGTTGAGAACCACTGCACTAGATTATCCGGAAGTTCTTCTTCGTCTTGTAAAACATCACGGTACTACACCTATTTGCCATAAACTTAGAAGTTACATTGCATGGGAGACACACAAGAGAGCCTACAGAAGAGAAACATATGGCCACTCCAAAAAGCAAACAAACAACAACGATAACCAATCAGAGGCGTAGCGAGGAAGGGGCAGGGGGGGACAGATGTCCCCGGGCGCCAGCTAGTTAGGGGCGCCAAAATGTGCTTTGATATTATTTTATTGGTGAAAATAATGGGTTTGAGATTTAAAAAAAAAAAAAAGAAAAAGGGGCGCTTTTAAATGGATCTTGTCCCCGGGTGCGAATCTTGTCCCCGGGCGCCAAACACCCTCGCTACGCCTCTGCAACCAATCTTTAGTCAGGTCCACGTTGGCCAGATAGATTCAAGACTGAAGTGAAGGAAGAGATGCCATTGTATGGTGAAACTCACTATTTCACTATCTGTTGATATCTGTTTTATGTCTAAGATAGAATGGTGGGAAATTGTTCTTCTATATAACAAAAATACTAATAATCTCTCTCTCTCGCTCTCTCTCTCTCTCTCTCTCTCTCTCTCTCTCTCTCGCTCTCTCTCTCTCTCTGTATATATATATAATATATATATGTTTTGTTTTTTTATTTGTCTCGTTAATTTGAGAAAGATTTATAAAGCCTTAAACAACAATACATGCATTTTCATTAAACAATAATATAAGTGCCAATATATCTACGTTAAATTGCAGCCTACAAGACTTTCGCAGCCAGGTTCGACTCACTCCGTGAACAGCCCTGGGCCCGTGAACCTCACATGGCGGAGACCTTGGCTCGGTTTGGGATGTTTTATGGAGGTAAAACTTGATATATTCAAGGAGTTAATTTAGCATTTTAAAAGTCATTATTTGAGTACATGTGTGTGCAGTACTGCCATGCTCATTGTCACAAGTGACATTTATGTCATTGCAGCAAGGTTTGGAGTGGAAAAAGAGTTCAAATTAATTCGAGTCATAAAAATGTTTAAAGACAGGAAATAAAAGTGACGGGGCCTAAAGTCTCCGAAAAACACTGAGAGTAAATTCTATCTTTGGGTTTGTAAAAGGTTTGCGACAATCTTTTCTTTTTTCCGTTCTCCATTTTCATTCAATGTGTCTACGGTCCCGAGTTTCAGTTCATATTCTTTATCATTAACCGATTACCGAAACATTTAGGTCTACACGTCAATTTTGTCGATTAATAAATTTGACCAAAAAAAAAATGAATCAAAATTGTTACATACACAGAAATTTTGTGGCTGAAATTAGTTATCGTTATCATTGGTATGGGGTTTTTTTTCGTTTTTTTTTTTTTTGCCATGATGATATTTAGCTTTAAAAATCTTTCCTGTGTCTGTCGGGGTTTAGGGGTGGGTGACAAGCTCTGTTGCTGCTCGTGCAACTTAAAAAATGAATCAAAATTGTTACATACACAGAAATTTTGTGGCTGAAATTAGTTATCGTTATCAGTGGTATGGGGTTTTTTTTCGTTTTTTTTTTTTTGCCATGATGATATTTAGCTTTAAAAATCTCTCCTGTGTCTGTCGGTGTTTAGGGGTGGGTGACAAGCTCTGTTGCTGCTCGTGCAACTTCATTATCACCGACTGGTCAGAAGGGAGGATACTCGTGGACATACGCGAGCTACACACAGAGTTTGACCCAAGATGCCCAGAACTGCGTCCACGGGGGTAACCGGATGTAGACATGTGAACGACTCGGAAATGTCTAAGGAAGACTTACTATTAAAACCACGAACAAAATCTCATTAGAGTTCAAAAAGCATTTTCAAGAAAAAAAATATTTTAATATCAAACATTTATACCAAGTGATTTTACTTCTAGTTACCATTATTGCAGTGAATTTTTAAATTTAAAAAAAAATTGGAAACTAGGAATCAATGAATTGTCGATCACTCTGAATAGTGTAGGGTTAGATCATGTTGTTGTTTTTTGTCAATCAATTTAATAATTTTAACAGGGTTAATTTATCGAATTGTTCATACATTTTTTGGCATAATCATTTGACGTAATTATTTACGCCCCCCCCCCCACGAAAAATACCACATTAATTTTTAAATTTTTTATTGTTATTGCCATGTTGTATCTTTCGAGTCCAGACCATTCCAAAAAATTTCAATTGTGTAAATACTGCCGATAAACAAATTCGATTTCTTTAGTAAAAGATTCAAAAATAAAATATTGGCTGTGACATAAACTAGACTCTATGCTTTAAAAAAAAAAAAAAAGAAAAAAAAAAAAAAAAAAGAAAAAAAAAAAAAAAGGAAAAAAAAAGAATAAAATTTGACTTTCGATCAAAAATGTTAAAAACTAGAGTTAAAATATTGTTAATTGTACTTATTTATACAAAAAACTTCTCCGTGAATTTTAATTTGAACCCCCACTCCCTTTTTTTTTCCCTCTCTTAGATACGCCTTTATCCCGTGTCTTTCAACACTTATGCAACTCACATGCAATGACACCACACACTTTTTAACTTGTGGTGACATTTTTTTGTTTGTTTGAGTATTTCTTTATCTTCTTTTTCATTTGTTTCACTTGTTCCGCAGTTGTACTTTTCATATCTTTCTTAACACCGAGTTCTTAGAAAAAAAAATTATAATTAACTTATTTGGCTTCACTGTGATTTTGTTTCAATCATTCCTCCGGAGTTAGTCATCCTTGGGGTTGAGTATTTATAAGTGTTAATTGAATGCGCCAACCTCATTGTGGAGATGAGATGTAGTGTGTCATAAGTGGTGAAATGTCGGCTCCTGAGATTGTGTAAGGCAGCGGTTCTCAACCTGTGGGTCGCGACCCATTTGGTGTCCTAGTGGTCGCCTAAGGCCATCTGAAAACACATATGCTTTACAGAGATGAAGTGGGAACGAAAATAATTTTGTCACTGTGGGTCGCCAGAAATTGGCGAACTGTATAAAAGGGTCCCGGCATTGGTAAGGTTGAGAACCACTGGCGCTGCTTCTATGTCGTTCGTGAAGGTTTAATTTAAGTTTTGATTGGTGCACACAGAAATGAACGTCTTTACTGTGCGCGGTGCGTAAGACAGCTTTGCTCATTACATGAGAACACTGTGTCGTGTGTTCATTTACTTACCTGAACGTTGTGAACCTTTGCCCAAAATAGCCACAGATGTGGCGAATGAAAAGTTAAGAATTCGTCACACTTTAAATACATCCTTACTGTTCAATCAGATGAGAGCAACTAACGCTTAAGGCGGCGCCTCTGCAATAGTCTTGCGGATTGGTGTAATAATTTTTTAACCAAAGTCAAACCGCTTAGATAAGCCATATGAATGTTAAGGGTTTTTCGAGTAGCCCCCGTACATCTGGTCAGAAGTAAAAAGCTCTTTCTAGTATATATCATTTATGTATCTGGTATATATATAATTTATTTTATATGATGGGGCCTCTAACATGAAGCTGCTTGTTATTTGATTCTTTTTTTTCCCTTCCAGATTGTTAGCTTCCCCTGAGGCTGTAATAGTTCATGTAACTGTACTCCATATTAAAATAATTCACGGCCCCCTTTACCTAATTATGTATATATACATATATATATATATATTGCTCGCCCGCCCCCTGCTGTATAGAATATTCTCAAGGTGTATAAATAATGCTTCCAATTTCCGTGTCCCAACTTGAGCTAGTAAGGAACACTCCCCCCCCCCCCCCCGCGTTCTCATTTTGGGAGCCGCTATTTTAAAGTAAAACTAATGATTAGTCGTGCGCTATTATTTTTAGAGTGATCGAAAAACACTTTAAATGACGATATCATTATTGAAAGTGACACTTCAGTATCAGTAAAAATATATTTAAATTGTCACACCTTCTGCAATGTAATGCGTGTAAATTTATTACAATATTATATATATAATATATATATAACAAACGCAAGATAAGCGGTTAGACTTAAGTCTATTTACTATTTCAAAAAAAAAAAAAAAAACATTTTCATCACTCATCATTCAATGACAGACCCACAATTACAATGAACTTTCTCAATTGCGAGCAAAAACTGCTAAAAACTGCGTTTCTCAAACCGAAACAAGTTACCAATGAAAGTGACACTTCAGTATCAGAAAAAATATATTTAAATTGTCACACCTTCTGCAATGTAATGTGTGTAAATTTATTACAATATTATATATATAAAATATATATAACAAACGCAAGATAAGCGGTTAGACTTAAGTCTATTTACTATTTCAAAAAAAAAAAAAAAAACATTTTCATCACTCATCATTCAATGACCGACCCCCACTTACGATGAACTTTCTCAATTGCGAGCCAATACTGCTAAAAACTGCGTTTCTCTAACGGAAACTAGTTACCAAAAATTGGTGGATGATGTGAAAATGGCTCGGATGACAACTCAGAAGAAACCACGAGACTATTGGCTCCTGAAACGCTATGATGTAATGACGTTAGAGAACAAAAGTAAGTTGATCTATCCTGTTAAAGAAGGCGACAGCGCTGTTCAGTTCTATGTCACGGATTCTGAATTATTTGACATACTTCACAAGGCTCATTTGGCCATGGGACATGGAGGAAGGGACAGAATGTTGAAAGAACTTTCACACAAGTATAAGAACATTACACGTAATGATATTGAACTTTACCTCCACCTTTGTGAGCCGTGTCAGAAGAAACAAAAAGGTGTCACAAAGGGTGTTGTGGTGAAGCCTATGATTTTTTTTCTGAATTCAACTCCCGTGGTCAGGTCGATCTTATCGATTTTCAATCCCATCCTGACAGGGAATATAAATTTATAAGGGTGTACCAAGATCATCTCACAAAGTTTGTGGTTCTGAGGGCTTTAACGTTCAAGAGGGCAGAAAAGGTAGCCTACACATTTGTGGAAATATTTACGTTGCTTGGCGCTCCATCAATTCTACAGTCCAATAATGATGCAAGATACAGAGCCTGCTATACAGAATACTGAAGAGAATGCAACCAGTAATGGAGGAATCCAAACTGATTGTGACGTCATGGTTACCGAAGAGCCTTCCACTTCTGGTGTTTGTTGTGTCTGCTTAAAAGAAATCAGCGATGCCCATACATTGCTGAAACTGTCACCGTAATGTTCATGTTATCTGTGGGCATGCTGCTAAAGACGATGGAGACGAGGAAATAGAAGGTTATGGTGTTGGTATTTTGTGCAGCTTGTGTTTCAAGATGAAGAGAGCTATAGAGGCTAGAAAAGAATCTAAATCGAACCTTGAAATCCAGGCCAAAAAAAAAATGAAAATTAACTCTGACAAAAAGTTCCCGCCTGCACCTTTTGGAGCCACTGTGCGAGTTCCTATTCCTGACGTTGACAAGGGACGAGGTAACTCGCGCAATCTGTTGGCAGTTGTTATGACAGAGACAGAAGACGGCTTTTATCGACTTGGAACTGCACAAGGAATCTTGAAACAATTGTATTCGAGATCACAGTTCGCTGTAGGTCCAAAAGATTTATTGAGAGTTGAAGACGTCCCGGCCCATGAAATACCTCTCCGATCTGCTGCTATCTCTCAGTTAACAGGAAGCGGTCAAGGATACGTGAGGTGTATGTGAAAGACCAGGTGCCAAAACATGAAGTGTCTTTGTTTGAAAAAGAAAATTAAGTGCAATTCAAAATGCCACTCCAGCCTTACTTGCTGCAACAAGTAGCTCAATGACACCTTTGCTTTCCAGTTTTATTGTTATATTTCGTATTCAAATGTGTTTTTCCAATTTAAAAAAAAATTCTTTACGCTCTTTTGAAACTTTGCCTGAAGTATATTTGTCATTATATATAATACCTAGGCAATGTATAAAATGCCTAGGCAAAGTATGTAACTTAATCACGAAAATAAAATATTACATACTTTGCCTAAAACCGCCAGGCATTCTATAGAATGCCTGCATTTCACACATTGCCGGTAACATATACACCATTTCAAACTGTTTATATATTTGTTGAATGATTTTTTTTTAAATTTCTGCAGTATAATATTAATTTAATGAAGATAGATATTTTCTTAAAGGATTTTAGGTCAGTGTAAAGTGTAAAAATGTATTTAAAAACATACATATTTATTTAATAATAAAAAGGATTTTGCTCCCCCATCCAGACTGTGCAATTTTACTGTTGAGTTGAACAAAATCGCAAAGGAATTTTGTTGTTATTACGTTTTTAAATTCACTACCAACTACTGTATTTTGTTTCTTTGTTAATTTTCATTATTTTGTGATAAAATTAAATTATATGATAATAAACTAAAATGTGTGCTAATTAATGTTTTAAATACTTCATTTGTTTTGTATTCAATCCTGAGTCAGGTTAGTTATATGAAGAGAATTGGGCATTTTTTGTTTCATGTAAGAGTGGTGCAGTACTATTCTATTGAGAGCGTGGGGCCTTTGGGGAAGGACAGAATCTAGATGTGAAACGAGAAGGAGAACGTGAAGTGACGCTTTGGAATGAGTCACATGTTACACTTTAAGATTTCAGTTACATGATAGTCCTGTGGGGAGTGTAAGGGGAGGGGGGGGGAGAGGAGAGAGAACTCACGAGTTGTTGTGACGGGTGTACACGAGGTGACTGCATTAAACAATGAAGATATAAGAAGCACATGGCATGTCAAGACGATGTTATTTCTCAGTTTATTCTTCGTCTCATAGTCCTCGAGGCGTATCGAAAAAGGAAGGTGGGCAGGTAGGGACAGGTGTTCACGGGCCCCAGCTAGTTAGGGGCGCCAAAATGTTCTTTGATATTATTTTATTGATGAAAATAATGGGTCTGGGAGTTTAAAAAAAAAGATAAGGGGCGCTTTAAAAGGAATCTTATTCCATGGGCGCGAATTTTTGTCCCGTGCGCCAAAAACTCTCGCTACGCCTCGGCATAGTCACCGCTAACTCTCCTCGATTGTTGTTAAACTAATCAATTTATTGATGACACGTTTAGTTTGTTCTTTTTCTTTTCAAATTTTTTAAAAACTTATTATTATTTTTTTCAAATATTTTTTTTATTTGTTTGGTTTACCAAGTAATCATGACCGTGTGCCTTTAAAAAAAAAATTATTTTGATGAACTTAGTTTAGTGAACCGACAGTTAAGTTATCACTGCTACCGAAATACTTTGTTTCGGGGTTTTCTAGTTTCATTTTTTAAAATATCAAAACATAATACCGCTCAATTAGTGTCAATGACAAAAATTGCCAACAGTAGACTATAGCCTCAGCTCTGGC